GCACTCACATGCCACACAGCTTAATTCAGAGCTCTCTTGGGTGCTTGGTACACTAGGGAGGTAGAGGATGTCAGATATTGATGTTCTGGTCATCACACAAGAAGGAAGGTTGAGACTGACGTTACAACCCTTCCTTTCACTTCCGCCCCCCTTCCCAGTTTGGCCACTTTCATATTTTCTCTTCTTACCACTCCAACATCATTCTACTTGATTAAATGAGAGAAAGGCGATTAGTCATTTCCAGGAAGACAGGCAGCATTTGCTGGTTCGCACCCTATCCTTGCCCTTAGCACTTAAGGGTGGAAATGAAAGTGATTCAGTCTTCTCTCTCAGCACAGAATGACAGCATGACCCTCTGCCTGCTGTCAAGTGATTTACATACAATTGGTATCAGGGACTACCAGGATTATCTTCCCACTCCCTTATGAAACGCCATTTCCTTTTCTATCAGTACATCCCACTTATAAGTTAGTATCTTTTACAATAATAATTTTTTAAAATAAATATCATCGGTTGGGCTCAGTGGCTCAGCCTGTAATCCCAGCACTTTGGGAGGCCGAGGCAAGTGGATTTGCCTGAGCCCGTGGGTTCGAGACCAACCCGGCAACTTGGTGAGACCTCGTCTCTACAATAAAAATAAAAAAAATTAGCCAGGTGTGGTAGTGCACGCCTGTAGTTCCAGCTACTTGGAAGGCTGAAGCAGAAGGATCATTGGAGCCCAGCAGGTCGACACTGGGGTGGCCATGAACATGCCACTTCACTCCAGCCTGGGCGACAGAGTGAGACTCCAACTCAAAAAAAAAAATTAAAAAAAAGGAAAAAAAAAGTAAGTGGGTTTTTAAAGCTTAATTCCTATTATAAGACTTTCTGGTGTGTCAAATATTTTTTATACTATAAAACAATTCTATTTTACAATTGTCTCAGAAATTCAGTGTAAAAGCTACCAAAGTGCTACAATATCAGAATAACATAGTAAAAATATTTCAATCGAATTTTCAGGATTTCCACAAAAATTCAAATATATATAAGCTTATCTTCAAATAGATATAAAAGATACAAAGGTAAGTTTTAAATACTTCAACAAAGAACAATTTTGATTTTATATCAAAAAAGTGAAACAGCATAGTACATCTTAAAATACTTTTAAAAAGAGTAGAATCTTCATAAATAAAAAAGGAAGATTCCACTAACTCTATCCTCCCACACAACTTAGAAAATATTACAAACCTGCACGTTTCTAGTTTCAGGTATACTGTTGTCATTAACCTTTGTGTGAAATGAACTGTATTATTCTTGAAATCTATTATTTCCAGGATAACAGTAGGCAATGCAGCTCTAAGTGCAAAAGAACATAACAGTGATTCTTATAAAACAGTGCATAGGTCACTTCCAGTGTAATACGAATTTGCTTCTAAGTAACAGGATAAATGTTTTCAAGCATCTGAATGACTCCCAGCTCGCTGCTCTTTTCTCTCTCCTGAAGCCGAGTGAACAAGCAGAGATGTGGAGCCTCTGAGGCTGCTTGGTTCTGAAGAACTGGGGGCCTGCAAATTGTTGTTCTGCATCGGGCCGGTTTCAGTAATATCACTCTTTGGACTTACCCTAGTCAAAAGAAGAGTCGACACATGTACATCCACAAGCACAAATGTGATGCCTATTGTCCTTATACCCCTTTTTTATGAGTTTAACCCCCAATCAGTGTCTACCATTATCAGAGGATGAGCAGCTAAAACTTTCGGTATATTTTAATACTTCAAAATACGAATACTTTAAAAAATATATACAATTTTTGCTGACTTCAGAAACTTCATCAAGCACTACCCACATGTGGGCTGAGAATAGTATCTTGTGGGGAATTCAATTAATAAGGCAGGATTCCAGCGCTCAGTTTAACAAATATTTTACTGATGTCCCACCATGTATCAGACACTGTAAGAGGCTGGGAACACAGAGATGAGTATAGCTCTGCCTTAAAGGAGTATGCAAATCTAGTGAAGGATAAAAGTATGTGTCTAATTGCAATCCAAATGTATGACAGCGGTCATGGGAGCACAGAGGAGATGTAGGTGGCCTAGTCTGAGGGATCTGGGTGAGATAACCTTGAGACCCTAAAGGAATTAGCTGCCAGCATTCTGGTTTACCTGTGTTTACTCATGCTTTGATCACCCATAACCATTTGGGAAAATTCATGAAAGATATCAATATCCTTTCATGTCTAGAAAATAAGATTTTATAATTTTATCTTTGTATAAAATGGCACACCTTTTAGACAGTATCATAATGTGGTATTAACTATAACTTAGCCTATATTTCGGATGAATCACAAACATTTACCTGAATGTATGAGTAACTCTTAATAATTATCATGGAAATGAATGTAACTTTCCTACTAAAACAACATACATAAAGGCTTATCTCAAAGCTAAGAATTAAACTAGTACATAGCCTATTTGTAAGCTGAAACCAAACTTCTTTGAATCACATCACAAAATGCTTTCTTTTCAGATGTGCTATGCTTTAATAAAGATGTATATCTCAGCATTTAAATCGAGAGTTTAGATAACAACATGTAGCCTCACCTTCCTTCACCCCGCGCACTTCCCGACACACTGCTCTTATCGTTCCCGCTGCCCGCCTGGCCTTTCCTGCTGGCCTGTTCCCCGGAGCGTTTGCAGTTGGATGCTGCTGGGGAGACAGGCTCCCCACAGTCCTGTTCTCCTAACTTGGAGGTGCTTTCTCCGTCTGCTCTTACTGATGCTTCTGGCGAAGTCTGGATTTCTGTCACAGTTTCTTGTCCTAAGTAGTCGTGGTTGGTGATGGCCACTGCAGAAGTGCCATGACTTGCAGTAGCACCTGTGCTGGTTCCCATGGATTTGGAAATGACCTTCAGCTTGTGTGAACTTGGTTTATAGTGCTTCTTTTTGTGTTTAACTTTAGAATTGTGCTTTAAGAAAAACTCACATGACTCCTGTAGAACTCTTCGACTTTCACTGATTGGACTGTAAGAAAGTCCAAGGAGAGGATTTACTCAATAAATTTTTAGTGTTATAGTAGAAGTCATAAAGGATATCACATAACTTTTGTCAAAAATCCACATTCATAAAAATTATAACTTATGTTATTGATAAAATCTGGGAGATATATATATATGCTAAGATATAAGTGGGCATCCATAAAGTAAAATCTGTGCATACACTCTTAGTTGCATCTGTCAGCATAAATAGTAAACTGGTAAGAAATTAAATACGTAAAATCAAAGGATGAGGGCAAGGAAACTCAAACCAGCAAAAAGTAAGGGACCAGCTATATTTGTATCACATATGTCAATATAAAAGTAAACCAGGACCGGGCTCAGTGGCTCAGCCTGTAATCCCAGCACTTTGGGAGGCTGAGGCGAGTGGACTGCCTGAGCGCACGGGCTCGAGACCCACCGGGCAACTTGGCAAGACCTTGTCTCTACACTACATCAAAAATTAGCTGGGCGTGGTAGCGCGCGCCTGTAGTTCTGGCTCTTTGGAAGGCTGAGAGGAAGGATTGCCGGAGCCCAGCAGGCTGAGGCTGTGACGGCTGTGGTGGCCGGAAGCGTGCCACTGCACTCCAGTCTGGGCGAGAGTGAGACTCCAACTCAAAAAAAAAAAAAAAGGCTGGGATTGGTGGCTCAGCCTGTAATCCCAGCACTCTGGGAGGCCAAGGCGAGTGGATTGCCTGAGCTCCCGCAATTGAGACCCACCTGGGCAACTTGGTGAGATCTCATCTATACAATAAATCAAAAGTTAGCCGGGCGTGGTAGCGCGCGCCTGTAGTTCTGGCTACTCCGAAAGCTGAGGTGGAAGGATGGCTGGAGCCCAGCAGGTGGAGGCTGTGGTGGCTGTGAGCGTGACACTGCACTCCAGCCTGGGTGATGGAGTGAGATGCCAACTCAAAAAAAAAAAAAAAAAGAGTAAACCAGAAGAAAAAGGATATAGAATACAATTAATGCCTTTGTTTAAATTTAATTCTTTTTTTTCTAACATTAAAGTGACATTGACATTAGTGGGTGTATATAAATATGAGATAGGCACATAATAACAGTGAAAAAAAAAAGTTCCAGTTAAATTCAATTCTTCAGACTTTCAAAAACTTATTTGTGAAAAGGTCTACAGTTCTGAAATTTGTACCACAAAGTGCTCATTAATTAAACCAGTGGAGAACAATTTTTAAAACTCTATACTGGGGCAACCGCTTCGTGTCCCCTCCCACTGAGGAAGCTTTTCTGTCCTCTCAATAAATCCTGCTTTCTCTAAATAAATAAATAAAATTTTAAAAAACAACTCTATACAATGTATATACATAACTAAAATGAATTATTTATTCATAAATATAAATCTATATTGTTAACTATTTATTTATAAATATAAATCTATAGTGTTATAGAATATTCACTGAATATAATATATTCTATGGTGTTATAGAAAAAATAAGTTTAAATTTTCACCATCTTAGACAATGCAGACAAATGAAATTTTTGGTCAGAACTGTGTATAATAAAATTTAAAGGTAGTAAATAATGATCATAACATATCACATATTTGAACTACATAGATTTCCTTACATATATTTGATTTCATTCAATCTTTATCATGCAAAAAAAAAGAATAAAATTACTAAAAATGCTCCACTCAAAATAATGAAACCAGTGATAGCAGTAATAAATACTGGATACACTATAAATCATGAAAACGCACATTTCATAAATCTTGCATTCATATTTCAGACTAATTTGTGTCAAAGATCATTTATAATAAATATCAAAACAAAGCATGTCTTTTCCATGAAAAAGATTTCCAAACTTCAGTTGGCTCAAATTATAATAATAGTTGATATTAAAAAACTCCAGTACAATGTTGATTTGAATAGTTCCTTGGTATTTGGATCCCTTTATTTTAAAACAGTGTCAGATAATTAAACAGGTTCTTACTCTCTCTTGCGATTTCTTTTAAAAAACCCAGCCCATTCTGTGCAGGTCTTTTTGCTTCCAACCCAGAAGACAGCAGAGATGCCAACAATTAAGGTCATCAGGTATTTTATCATAAACAAGGCCAATTCTGGTCGAGCTTTTGTTTTTGCCTACAAAAAATAGTGAATAATAAAATTTTCAGCAATAAAGTGGAGACAAATTCTATATTGCCTATGTAAAATTTTAACAAAAATTATAAATCTTCAACTGTTTTGTTATAAAAGGTTAGAAATAATATAATTAATGGTGCTTTAAGTGCAATACATCTTTTTTTTTTTTAACCTAAGTTCTGAACAAAGAACCTTTATCTGTGTACCAAAATCTCTAGAAAGGTAAATAATGAAATGTATTTAGGAATAACCTCCTAAGACTTGGTATAATTTCCTGGTATTTTCCCCCAAGGGTACAGCAGCCGCTTGTAATTGCTAAAATATTTTGCCTCTAAATACTTTCCTATTTTCCTTCACTATAATTTACCATAAGTGTACATTTCACTATATCATACTATATACTATAACATATAGGTACTACAACATATATTTTACAGTCTTTATGCATTGTTAATGATTATATTATAAAACTTGGTTGGTTAGAGTAAATATCAATAAAACATGAAAATGTAGAAATTTCATAAAAACTAAAATCATAGCTTCTTTTAAATATAAACTTCCAAAAAACTATTTTTAAATGTTGCACAAGTACCAAAATATTATATATTCTGCATATCTTGCTTTTTGCACTTACTACTATTTCTTGGAGGTCATTCTATAGCAGTACAAACAGAGCTCATCGTTCTTTTTAAAGACTGTTCCATTGTGTGGATGAACCATAACTTATTCAATTACCCCTATTAATAGACACTTACTTCCGACCTATTGCCATTTGCAAAGGATGCTGTAGTGACTATCTTTGTATTGTATAATTTCCCACATTTTAAGCAGATCTGTCTACAAATTCCCAGAAGGGTAGGATCAAAGAGTACATGCATTTTAAATCTGACACATATTGTCAAATTGCTATCCACAGAAAGTAGAATTGAAACTCTGAATAGAAAAGTCTGAGAATTGTATTTTGTCACAGTTTTCAACATGTCATAAACAGAAATACAGTTTTAATTTTATCCTTTTACTATAACTTTTTTTCATATTTAAGAATAATCTCTTTATTTTCTGTGAACTTTCTTCCTATCTTTTTCTCATTTTTATATCAAATTTTTTATTTTGTTTTAGTCTGTAGGAACTATTTATAAATTAAAAACTTAGCCCTTCAGCTATGATGTGATATACAAATAAACTTTCCCAACTGGTCTTTTGACTTGGATCACTGTTTTATTTTTCAAATTAATTTAATAGAAACAAGGTCTTGCTGTGCTGCCCATATTGGTCTCAAACCCCTCATGTCAAGCAATTTGCCCTCCTTGGCCTCCCAAAGTGCTAGGATTATAGGCATGAGCCACCACGTCCAGCCTGTTTTTTTTTTTTTTTTTTTAAACCATGCAGAATCTTTAAACGTTTTTTTAGTCAAATTTAACAATCTTTTCTTTTATAGTTCCTGAATTTTACATCATACTTATAAAGTCCTTCTCTACTTGAAGATTATAATTTTCTTTCTATCCTCTAGTATTTAAAAAATTTTTTTCTAGTATTTTCTTACATAAAATATATTCTTAAAAAACCACAGATCTTAAACTTTTTTAGCAGTATGTAATATGTGATACCTGTTTCTCTCCCCATTCCCCAAATGCTGAGGAATCTAGGAGACATTTAATATAGCTCTCAGCCGGGCTCAGTGGCTCAGCCTGTAATCCCACGCCTTTGGGAGGCTGAGGTGAGTGGATTGCCTGAGCCCGCAGGTTCGAGACCCGCCTGGGCAGCGAGACCTCATCTCTACAATAAATCAAAAAATCAGCTGGGCGTGGTAGCGCATGCCTGTAATTCCGGCTACCGGGAAGGCTGAGGCGGAAGGATCACGGGAGCCCAGCAGATCAAGGCTGTGGTGGGCGGGAGCGGCCCCTGCACTCCAGTCTGGGCGACAGAGTGAGACTCCAACTCAAAAACAACAACAACAACAAATATAGCTCTCTTACTAAATATATAGTAAAAACAGACACTGGATAATAGACTATGGAAAATAAAACTATTATCCCCACACATCAGTGTAAAAATAGGTTCTACTATGTTCTAAAGCAGTAACTTTATAAAATATAAATGATGTAAAATAATTCAGCTCTTCAAGACCTCATCTCTACAATAAATCAAAAAATTAGCCGGGTGTGGTAACACGCGCCTGTAGTTCCAGCTACTTGGAAGACAGGTGGAAGGATTGCCAGAGCCCAGCAGATTGAGGCTGTGGTGGCCGGGAGCGGCCACTGCACTGCAGTCTGGGCAACAGAGTGAGACTCCAACGCAAAAAAAAAAAAACAAAATTCAGCTCATATTGCTTGATGTGATACACTGTGATGATAGTTCTCATGTTCAATATAGTTAGTTAATACCACACACACATAGTCAAGAATAATGTATAAAGTCTATTAAAACAAAACAAAATTGCTATTAAAAAACTTTAATTGGGTTAGGGTTAGGGTTAACCCTAAAATGCTTTAAGAAATTTTATATTTTCAGAAATTTACTTTTTAAATTCTCTTTTTGTACCTGTTTTTTAAATTTTATTTTTATTTATTTTAAAGCAGTGGAATACAATTCAGGATTAGGTAGATACGTGGTCATCGTACAGGTAAAGTTTGGACCTCCCTTTGGTCCCCACTTCACCGGGTTACTTTTTTCGTAAGCATCAGAAACACAAGAAATATATTCTGTTTCAAATGTGTTTTTTTTCAGTTAAGAATTTACAGAATGAGTTAGGCAAAAATCAAATTGTTTTTGTAAGTATATACTATGCAAAAAGTTATAATATGATCAAATAAAATATACCCAAATGAGGTTTTTCCTTACTAACCGAAGAATTAAAAATAATCTCCAATTCAGCAGAAGTAACTTCTTTTTTCTTCCCTTTGACAAGACCTGTTCAGACTCTGCTCTCCATTACTACTAATCCGCTTGTGCAACTCAACTGAACTTTTCAAGGAAGTTCAAGGATGCACTTTACTATTAAACCTGAAGCTAAAGCTGGAGGGAAGAACCCTTGGGACATTTACCTCACTTTCAACTGATGCATAGGAAATCATTTCCTATGTCTATTGGATTTGCTCACTTGAAATACAATATTCTGTCTATGACCACTACTAAGTATATTTCCGGGAAACACCTTTTACGTTAGAAGTAAATAGTGGCATAATCCAACAATAGCTTTTACCTGATAAGGACATGGGATGTGGTACTGACGACAATGATCAGAGACCCAAGTTACTTCCCAGGTAAACCTGTTCACTTGCTCATAGACATAACATCCGAGGAGTGTCACTAATGGCACAAGATACAGGCCACTGAAGACTCCAATCCGAATCATGAATTTCTTTAGTTTTTCTTGGTTCCGGCCATCATGCTGTATAACTTGTCGAACGTGATTTAAGGAAATAATGCCAGCTAAAAGAAGAGACAGCCCAACAAACACACACAGGCAGAGTGGCAAAAGAACAAAGTAACGAGAAGCATCCAGGTCATAAAGGCCAACAAAGCACACTCCACTGATGTTGTCTCCTTCAACTTTGTTCATAGCAAGAAGCATAACAGTCAGAAAACCTGGTATTCCCCATGCAACAGCATGAAACCACACTGCTTTTTGTTCAATGGCTTCACAACTCCATTTTCTTCCTGCAGCTAAGAACCAAGTAATGGTAAGAATCACCCACCACACAGTGCCAGCCATTGTGAAAAAATACAAAAACATAAACAAAACGGTGCAAGCCTTATTTTGAGAGCCCAGAACAACTGTGTCACCAAGTTCAAGCTTCTCATCTGCCTTCTTGCAGGCTGTGCGATCACCTAGCAAAAATCCAATAAAGTACATAAGAGATACAATGCTGTAACAGACAGAGTAATAAATAATTGGTCTCTCTGGGTATCTGAATCTTTTAACATCAATTAAAAAAGTAAGGAATGTGAACAGAGTTGCACAAAGACAGAATATTGAAACTATTCCAATAAAACTTTTTGCAAACTCAAGTTCATCACTTTTAAAATACATGTTGGGGCATGGAGGTGCACATTGGTCAATTCCCAGAAACTTAAAGCCTTGTCCTCCAGAAGTCTTAAGATGCCTCGGACACCAAAATCCAATATCTCTTTGGACTTGTTCTGTTTTCTTCTGAGGACTAAGAAATTCTGTGTGTAGATCAAAAGTTACAGGAACAGCTTCATCACAGTATTGTAATCTGCAAAGATTATACAAATTAAATATACAAAGTCAACATTTTTATTAATTTACTATTTAAATGCTATGCTTTCCACCTATAAAACATTACCTTACATGTTCATAACTGATAGGAAGACATACAAACTTAAATGGATTACAGGTTAGAGTAGGGTAGAAATTTTTGGAGCTGACAGGGTAGAGTTCAAGTTTTTAAGAAGGGTGAGAATACCACCAAGAGGTAGGCTGAGGACCAGCTTACCTCACACTACCATTTTCTTTAGTTTGGCTATATACTGGTCTATGTGGACAGTCCTGAGTGATACAGAGATATTTCTGTCTTGTGCAGAACTTGCACGGAGTTGACTTTGTGTACACCATTGTTATTTGGAGGATCAATATGGTTTAAAAAGTAGTGGGGGTTTTTATTGAGAAAACATTTTAAATATACCTTAGATAAGAACAAGAATGATATGCTTTATGTGCCCATAAAGTGAAATACATAAAATCATGTCTCTAACAGTTTCATTAAAACATAATATTGTCAGTTTTGCTTTATAACTTATTAAATAAAGCAATATAATATTACAGATATTGGAACCCCTTTCTGGTCTTATTCCCTCCTCTCTCCTTAGAAGTATTTATGACCACAAATGTGGTTTTTATTCTTAAGCATTTAAAAATATTTGTACTATGTTATTTGCTAACCATAACCTTACAAAGTATTGTTTTGAACTTTATATAAATGACACCAGGCTGTATGTATCATGCAATAGCTTCCTTTTTTAAAACTCAACACTGTATTTTTTAGATTTACCCATGCTGACAGATGTAGGCCAACTGCATTTGTTTTCTCAACTGTATGGTAGTATTCTAGTGTGCAAGTACATCACAATTTACCAGCTATTTTTCTACAATGGACTTTTAGACTTTTTCCCTTTAAAAAAAATTAGGACTAATCTACAATCAGTATTTTTGTGCATGATTCTGTGTTTGCGTAAGAGTTTCTAGAGAAAGGGATTACCAGGATGTAGGGTCTGAGCAGCTGCAACTTTCCTATACAGTACTCAACTGGTCTTGGAAGTGATTATGCAGCTAACAGAAGTATATGAGTTCCACAAAGGTTCTGTCGCTTCTCAATCTAGAAATAAAATACCAAAATACCAAATGCCAACTTCTTTCCCCAATGTATTACATGAGGTCTCACTATATCAGTAAATATTTAAAATTACAAGCTCCCACTGACTAAAGAATAAGAAAAAAGTAATTAATCAAGACAAATGTGAAGAAGGTCAATAAATTGATGAGGTTCATTCATGAGTTAATTGTACTTAAAATTTTCTCATATGAACTTTAATTGCAAATGATCAAGCAAACCAGTACTTACCACATTTAGTCACTATCACAGAGAAGTTCAGGTAGAATTTTTTTTTAAAGAAAATAAGAATGTGCTGGAGATTTTTTTTTTTTTAGATAGAGTCTTGTTATGTTATCCAAGCTGGTCTCGAACTCCTGGGCTCAAGTGATCCTTCCAAGTAACTGGGACTACAGGTGTGTGCCATTGTACCTGGTGTATGCCTGAGATTTTTATATCCAAAACAGACCATATTCCCAAAATATTACACTAACACTGGTCTGAAGGTAGATGTAACAAATATAACTAGCATGGGTGACCCTAACACAGAATACTTCATGTTACAAAAACAGTGTTAAGCACTTTTGCATCATTTTCATTTTGAAATACACTTAGTAATTTAAAAATCTGTCATAGTACAGAGGGTAAGGTGTAGAAAGGCCTGCTAATACATCACATCAGGAAAGTATATTTTCATGAAAGCAAGGCAGGTATGTCTTTGAGGGGGAAAAGTTTGACTATCATAAAAAAGACAGGAAAATAAGTGAAAGGAAAATGGTATAACAGAAAATGGTCTGATTCTGTGGGCAGGTGGCTAGTGGACATGCATGCATCGCTGTGGGAACAGTGATGAAAGGAAAAGGAAGACACACAATAGGCCATGGTGAGCGGGTGATCTCCCACAAAGCTGCCAGGCGATGGCTGACTGGGGCCAGGCTTGACCAGGAAGCCATCTGTCACACAACCCTTCACATATGGAATGTGCCTCTGTTCTCACAAGCTGAGGAGCCCACAGGCCTCAAAGAATGAATTTCACTCCTTACTCCCAAGGCCAAGGTAGCGGGATGGCAAAGGCATTCTCTCAAGTAACCAAGAGCCTAACAGATGCTATCACCACACGGTTTTGCCGTTTCTCAAATAATAGACGCTGCCTTCATGTTTTTACCACAAAGCTAAATATGTTAAACCCTTTCATTATGCTAGAAACCTTTCAACAAGCTAAAATTTGGGTTTTAATCAGGAGTGATCCTCTTTTTCTGTGTATCAAAATAAATGCCACAAAAGCCTGAAAGTCCTTGCCTCTTCCTTTGCCTAATAGTTCTGAAAGTAGTCAGTCCTTTTCCATTAAACTCATAAATGTTCCTCTTTCACAGCCACATTTCCTAAGGACTCTCTAGTGTCTTGTTTCCCTTTCTACTCCTTCACCGACTACAATCCATCCTTTGCCCCAATCACTCGAGTGAGATGGTGCGAGGCAATGTTCTTTCTGACTGGCAGCACCTGGCACGTCCTCTGCCTTGAATACCTTCTTCCCTCGTGGACACACATTTTTCATTCTCCCTGCTAGTGCAGTTGTGGCACATGACTGACATCCTGCCAAAAGGAATGTGAATGGAAAAAGTGAGACACTTCCAGACTGAAGAAAAGGTGTGTGTCATCACCTTCTCTCTCTCCTTCTATGTGGCTATCAGAGTTGCATGCTGGAAGGAAACTGAATTGCTAGGAGGAACTGCTAGGGAGCTCTGCCCAACCCTCAGGAGATTTGTGACACGAGTGCCATGCTCTACACAGAAGCTGACAGGATCATGCTACCCACTCCTATCTTAAAATACTCGAAGACCTTCTCACTGCTTTTAGCACAACACGCAAGATGGGTCCTGAATGGTCTGACTGCTGCTCTTCTCGCCTTTATCTTGCACCACATTCTTTCTTACTCTCATCACTCAAGCCACATTAACTTTTTATTTTTTACTTTATCAAGGTGAAGTCTTACTCTGTCACCCAAGCTAGAGTGCAGTGGCACCACCACGACTCAACACACAGTCTCAAACTGCTGGACTCAGGTGATCCTTCTGCCTCAGCCTCCTGAGTAGCTGAGACTACAGATGCACAACTTCACCACACCTAATTTATTTTTTATTTTTTTATTTTTGGAGAGATGGGGTCTCACTATGTTGCCTAGGCTGGTCTCAAACTCCTGGGCTCAATCCTCCCAGCTCAGCCTCCCAAAGTGTTAATAGTACAGTGTGAGCCACTGTACCTGGCCCATACTGACTTTTTAATCCCCTGACTACGCCAATTCCCCTCATATCACAGGGCCTCTGAACAAGCTATTCCCATCGCCCAAAGTGCTCTTCCCTTCCCTCCTTGCCTACTTACCTCTGTTTTACCTTCCATACTTTAGCTCAACAGTCATTTTCTTCCCTTTCCACCAGTTTAGGGCAAAGGTACCAATACATGTTCTCATAGAATTATGTACCTCTCCTTTGCTGAATCTACCACTGTGGTAATTTTGCATTTATTTGCATAATTATTTGATTCCTATCTGTAGTTCCCACTTTACCATAAGTTCCCTGAAAGCAAGAACCAAGTCTTTGTTTTTTGCTCACCATTGTATCCTCAACACTTATTACCACTGTGTTTGGCATATATTAATGAGCAATCAATGAAAGCCTGTCACTAACATTCTGGAGAGCTAATAACAATATTAAAATATCATTAGCAGCTTTCCACAAAAAACATAATGTACCTGTTACATTCAAGTTCCTCAGGCCATCGGATCCCAAAAGTGTCAATTAATTTTTTGCAATCAGAATATACTTTCTCGCAAAATTTACGGCAAGGTGGAACCACATGAATTTGCTCTGTGCAGGTTGGTACAAAAGCTTTGCAAAGGAAAGTTTCAACATTTGGTGAACATTCCAGATTTGCAAGAGGAAGAAAATGCTATTAAAAACAGAAAAATAAGGTTAGAAAACATTTTAATAACAAATTAATTCATTTACTGTTTAAAATATATGCTTTTTAAACTTATCCTCCAGAGAATCTTTAAATCTCCTTCTGTTAGACTCAACTGAATCATTATTGAACTATGAATCTTTCATACACAATAGAATGCCATTTTTTTATTCAATTGTATATTCTAGAAGACACAGATTACTCCAATGAAATCACTTGTCAGAGTCACCAACAGACTACATTATCACATCTGATGACGAATTCAGTCTTCACTCTACTCAACTCTTGACAACAACTGACATATGGATCCTATCTCTCCTTGAGGATTTTTTTTCATTGTATTGTTGACTGCTAATTCTTCTGATTTTTAGCAGTCTTATTAGCTTTTCCTTTTCCGATTGTATTTTTCAATTTTAAATAGTGAAATTGTCTAGAGTTCAGTTGCAGACCTCTTCATGATCTACACTCACATTTCAGGGCAACTCATCTGGCCCCCATCTCTCCTGTGAACACTAGACTTGAATGGACATCTGCTTCCTGGACAACTCCACTTGGCTGTCAACAGGAATCCAAACCCAGTGTATCCAAAACACAAGTAATCCCACTGCATCCCTAGTCCCCAAACATGCCCTCAGTATTCCCCATATCAGTAAATGATGCCACAGTTCACCAAGTTGCTCGGGTCAAGAATTTTAAGATTTATTCTTTACTCCTCTCTTCTTTCACTCTATATCCAATCCATCAGCAAACCCTGTTGACTCTCTCTTCAGAGCATATTCCAAATCTGACCATTTCTCACTATTACCACCTCATCTAAGTCACTATATCTTTCACCTAGTCTATTGAAAGAGCCTCCTAACAGGTCTCACTACTCCCCACTCCTGCTAATCCCACAGTAAATTTTCCATACCAATCCATACTCCCACCAATGTGTGTGTGTGTTTTTTAGATTAGAAAATGTAGTTTATTTAGAAAGTAAATTAGAGAGAGAGAGAGAAGAAAGAGGAGATTCACCTCCCCAAGGTAGGGGAGGGGAATATGATTCTTTAAAATGTAAGTTTATCCTTGTTCAAAGATTCCAATAAAATAAATATCAAAGTCTTTACTATCTACTTGGGGGCCTTAAATTTCCTGGTCTCTGGCTACGGCTCCACCTTCATTTCTTACCACTCTTTTTCTTACTCACTTTGTTTCTCACTGGCCCTTTGCTTCTCATCATTCCATGTGTATTTCTGCCTCAGAATCTTTGCATTTACTGTTTCCTTCACCTCTTTCCCCAGATAGTCACATAGCTTTAGTCCTCATTTGAGTCTCTGCTCAACTATCACCTTTCTCTATCCACCCTGTCTAATATCCTGTCATTAATTATCCTGTCATTCTCCATCCCATTACTCTGGTTTGTATTTCTTTTAAGCCCTATTATTACCTAACATTTCATTATATACATGTATATAATGTATACATGTTCATATATGTATTTAATTTCTGCCTTTGCAACTAGAATATGAATTCCATGAGGAGAGGGACTTTGTTTTGTTAACTGCTGTATCTGTCATATAGTAATTTTTCTATAAATATTAACAGAATAAATGACTCTCTAGAACAATTAATAAACAATGATAAAGCATGCAAAAACTTTCAGTGCATCAAGAAAAAGAGAAGATCATAAATGTTTCCAGAGGGGGACAAAAGGACATATGCAAACAAATTAAATTCTGAATATTTGATAATATCAGATGCCAGAAGACAATGAAGAAAAAACAATAGGCTTCTGAAGAAAAATTACTTCCAATCTAGAATTCTATACCCAGCCAAACATTTAGGGGAGGGTAAAATAATGACAGTTTTGGCCCTGTAAGGAATAAAAAAAAAAAAATTAAGCTTTCAAGCATTTCTTTTTAGAAAGTAACTAGAAGATGTAATGTTCCTGAAACTAATTGAAGGAGTATATGAATAAACCAGAAAGGAAAAGGATATGGGACTCAGCAATTAGTTGATTCAACACCAGAGAAAGCCAGAGTTAGCTATAAGTTTAGTCCAGAAAGTAATCAGAGCATACTTGATAGAAGGACTGAGGGCCCAAGGAGAAAGGTCTCCAGAGGATGGGAGTAGGGGCTTGGAATTGACAGATTATATATTTTGAGCATCTGGGGAAACTGTTGCTAGGTGTCTGACAAGTCTATCAGGATACCTGAAAAAAGTTAGCCATAGGTACATAAAAAATAAAGCAAATGGGGGAAAATGCAATTACTGCATTAAGTGGTAGGAGAGGAGATATTAAATAAATTAATGTAATCCAAGTAAACTACTTGACTCAAAAGTATACAATATGCAGTATTCCTAGTAATGCTAGCACTGACAGTTGAATTAACCAAAAATTGTATTATGACATTAGGAGAAGTAAAAGTGGCAGAGAAAGAGAAATGAATTATCAACCACCACAATAGGAAGAAATGAATAGAAGCTGCCTGGTGTCCTAAGCTGATGAATCAGTAAATATCAGAGTAAACATATTAGTCAGAACATGGCCTACACACCAGAAGAACACTTAAAAGGGCTCAAAATGGCTGCCTCCAAGCAGCAGGCCTGGAATGGGGTGGGGGGAGGGTAGACAAGGACTAGTGTTTCTCTGTTAAAAAAACCTTTTAGTATTGAGGATTTTTTTAAAAAAAGATTTATTCAGGGATAAATGAACACGTATAAAGTGTACAATTTAATAAGTTTTGAAACCATCACCACAATCACGGTAATATATATATTCATCACCACCAAAAGTTTCCTCTTTACCCTTTTGTAATCTCTCCCTCCCCTTCCATCTTTCTTCTCATCCCCTCAGTAACCTCCCATTCCTGGCAAAGACTGATCTATTTTCTGTCACTACAGAGTGGTATTTTCTATAATTTTATATAAGTAAAATAATATACGGTATGTCTTCTTTTTTGGTCTGGCTTCTTTCACTCAGCATCATTATATTGAAATTCATCCATACTGTTCCATATATCAGTAGTTCTCTTCTTTTAATCGCTGAGTAGTAGTTCACTATATAGCTATACCATAATTTATCAACCATTCACCAGTTGATAAACAGTCTGAAATGCTCATGAGACAGTTGAGAGTGACTATCTACAAGTAGGTAGTTAAATAAATAGAGCTATGTAGGTGACAGACTTTAGATTAAGGATATGGATTTGAAAGTCATGAGCACAAGAGTGGCCACTGAAATAACTGATTGAAATTACCTAAAGAGAATGTGTAGAGAAAAAAGATGAAAATTCTGCTTCAAGGGGAAAGCAATGAATCTATATATTAGCATTTCCTTCTTCTCCACCTGTCACTGAAGTGAGATAAAAGGTTTTCAAAAGAAAAAAATAAAATTCATAGCTGCATTCAAAAAACAGGGAAAGATCTCATGAGTGAACTATAAACTTTGAGAAATTTCTAGAAGGAATGATGATGTCTACTTTTAGCAGTATGGTCATCTATCTCCTGCCACAAAACAATTGGGTCCTGGACAAACTACAACAGACAGACTTTAAAATGCATTGTTAAGCACTGTATACATCTAATAAAACCTCCTTAAAATATATCAAGCAAAAAGCAACAAAACTACAAGAAGAACTGGATAATTCCACGGTCATAATGAGATGTCTCAATATACCTTTCTTAGGAAATGAAAGGTCAAGCAGACAAAAAAGTTAATAATAGAAGATTTGACTGGAGACTACAAGTGACAAGTCTGATTTAAAGGGCACATGCAGAACCTACACCCAGCAATTAGAGGACAATAGCTTTGGAAGATGCTGGACCAGCAGAAAGTTCCTCCTGTCCTGATGGGGCAAAGAGAGGGTGCCACAGTTGGTAAACTGTATCTCTCTTAACTGAATAATGCTCTAAGACCTGATCCTTTGCCACCGAACAGGAGCTTGGTGGAGAGTAAACAGCACAGAGCTTTTTTCAATCTCCTCTATTCTAACGGGGGAGAATGCCCAGACTGTGTGCAAATCCCTCATTTTATAATATGAATCTAGGACTGAGGTGGGAAAAAGAGAGCCATGGGCAATTGCTAGCATCTACTTCTTTGTTTACTGTCCCAAAAAGTCTAGTCCCTACATTTTTTGAGTGTCTGGTAATCAGATCCTTTGGTGGAAAGGATTAAAACACACTGTGTTTAATTCTAACTCAGAAGTCATTTTGCAATAGCCATGATAAACTGATCACCAGCACATAAGAACTAATTGTCTATTTCAAGGGCAGACAAAAAGAAAGCAGAACGTGTACTTTTTCTATACTAAAATAATTGTCTTACAAGTCACTTCCCTCATATAATTCTTCTACAGTGTCAATGTTAGCTAATCCAGTAATGCTGATGCTCCCGTACTGTGTGGAGGATAAACTGAATGTTGAAAACTCAAATACCTTCAAGGGCCACACAGGAAAATTCAAAGGGGTGTAAGACAATAGGGAGGAGTTGGGCAGCAGCTGCTACTCAGCTCTAGTAGACTGTTACTTGGAAATGGGAGCACAGAACTGTCAGGTATGTGCACTTTTCACAAGAACACAGAACCTGAATTTTTACATGAGAGCTCCCAAATTTTAGATGGCATTTTAATCTACACATGTAAAGGACTGTGGCAGGAAAAAAAAAAAACTTTAGTCTTCAGGTCAGATCCAGGGTAGGCCACCGACTTCCAAGTTCTGTTGCAGACTAAACAGACTTAAAGAATTTTAGACTTGGAAGGGATCTGAGAAAAAAACTTTACATTATTACTTTTAAAGTATGTGTATGTGTCTCTGCACGCACACATGAGCATTTTGCCAAGAAACATTTTCTTTAAATAAGAGGTTACAAAGAAGACTGACATACTAAATAAATAAAGTCACAGCCTCTTTGGGCTGAAAAGGAAGGCTTCCCTGCTGAGATACCTCTTGCTGCTCCCCTTCACCACCAGTGACCTCAAAGCACCTCCAGCGATCACAGTTTGAAAACT